GCCGTAGGTCATGAGAAGGGGGCGGTGGGGGATGGGTTTCCACAGAATCTTCCACCCGCTTGCGAACTTTTGATCTTTTCGATGCCGGGAGTAAACTCCGGTCAAGCTTAGGGAAATCAGATTCAGAGGGATTCGGAGGGAAGGAGGCTCCCGGATCAAAGGTGACCGTGCTGCCGGGGAGGATAAAATTAGGGTTTTGAGCGTGCGCCGTCGTCATCGTAATAAAAAAGAACTTTTGGGAACGGTATTAAGTAAAAGGAAACGGTAAATAGTGTTTCACTTTTTTTTGTTTTGTTTTGTGATTATGTATTATCACGCGCTTTAAGCGAGTCGTCGACCATAGCAAATAACAGGATCTCGTAGATTACGATCATGCCACGTGGTTGGAATCCATTATACTTTACATAAAAAATCCCATCAAACGAGGAAATGGAATAAGGGCATCTTTAACAAGGGGTTTGTGCAAGGTTTATAAACCTCACTTTAATAGGTTTATCTACTAAAGGAAGGAGGTTTAAGGTTTACAAATGTAAACCAGGTTTACATTCTTAAACCTCCCATAAACCTCAATAAAAAATAGTAAAAGTACAAAAAAGTGGAATTATAATGTAAGAATATTAATAAAAATAATAATAGTAAAATGTTGAGTGGAAAACATGTGGGACCATAAAAATGAGGTTTATGTGTTTTATTGTTATTGGAGGTTTATGTGTGTAGAAGTAAAAAATTAGGTTTTAGATGATGTGGCATATTGAGAAATGTAAAAAGAGGTTTATGGGGAGTTATTGTTAAAGATGCTTTAAAAAAATAAAAGAAGAATTAAACAGCCGAGGGGCGGCCCACAACACTACATGCGTGTCAGTAAATGACGGAGTCTGGTTGCTCACCATCTCGTGGCTGCCTCTGATTGGCACACGTACAGAACCTAATAATATCTGGCCCCTGCAACGTGTTGCTCTATAATTCACGATCCCTCAGATGGACGGTTCAGATCACCCTGCGCGCATTCAGCTATTATACGTCACACCAACTGTGCATGTCGGGTACGTTTACTTTACCTGCCCGAGACGGTGACGGGCAGCTGCCCGCCTAATCAACCACTACTATCTTGATGTTGTGCTCTCCGCCTTTTTCTCAGACTTCCCAATCTCTTTGCCTACAATTATTGTCTGCTTTTTTTAATTTTAATTATTATTCGAAGCTGTTCTAATTTTATTGTTAACAAAAAATTTAAAAATTTTGGATTTTGTATCCATGTCTGGTATGTGTTGCGGAATGAATATGGGGGAGACGCAGACCACTGCCCCAGTAGAGCCCACCTCCAAATCCGCCAGGCGGAGGAGGATGGAAATACACCAGTTCAACTTCTCGCCGGCCGATTTGTCGCAGGACGGCGCCGGCAGGAGGAGTAAGAAGCTGAAGGTTGATGCCGGCGTGAAGGATGAAGAAAAACCAAAGGAGAATATCGGTGAGCTGTTGTCTGAGGAGAAAAAGCGCGAGACGAAGAAGTCATTTCCTGATCTCTCTGCTTTGCGCTGGGGTTCATCCCGTGAACTAAAACCGGAGCTTCCAAAGTTCGGATTTACCTCAATCTGCGGACGGCGACGGGACATGGAGGACGCCGTCGCGATTCACCCTTACTTTAGCTGCCGGGACCGAGATTCTCCGTCCGGTTGGCACTTCTTCGGAGTCTACGATGGCCATGGATGCTCACACGTAAGGAATTTTCGAAT